CCGTTCTGTCACAATAACTGGTGGTCTCCTGGTGGTAGTCGTCGTACTTGTTGAAATAATTAGTGGAGTCTTCGGGGTGGGATAAGTATATCCTGACGTTGGTGTCGTTGGTGGTTTTGGCGTTGGATAATACGTCTTTTTCGTTTGTATTGTTGATTTCGTTGTATACTCCCTGTTAAAGGAAATATTATTCAAATAAAAATGTTTACTGACTTGTTCATCGCATTATTTCTTGCCCACATTGGAAATTGGAATATTCTTTAAGTAATATTTTACATTTTATTTAATTTATTCACCTAGGAGGTAAAGTAAAAGTTGTTTTAGGTGTTTCGTAGTGATATCCGTCAAATGATCTTTGGGGTATTGGATAATTCTCTATCGCCCGTTTATCCCTTTCAATTTGCTGCGCATGGCATGTGGAGAGTACCGCCACGAGGGTGGCGGTACACAGCAGCTTCCACTGTTAACAGAAAAATAAAGAAAATTAAAATATGATTTTAATTGTATATTATTTCTTTTCCAGTGAACTTGTTCGACTTAAGAGCTCGCGATAATACGAGCGTCATCTTCGTGGGATAATCTCATGCCCCACCTATAAGGAACTTACATAATAACATCTTACAATGCAGTGATGATCGTGAAAGGTTTGTTGGCACGAAATACACTGTACGATGAATGCTTTTATTGATTTCTAATTTGATAAACATCTAAAGATAGTCATTGATGGTTTTTATAGTTTGAATAATTAATCGTTATTTACAAACCTGTGATTTTGATAAACGTAGTGTTAAATACACTGCATTGAAATTTTTGAATGAATGTGAAAGTAATTTCTATATTTTTATGTAATGACATTCTTAAAGATTTCAAAGAATTTTTTAATTAATTAAAATTCGATTTATCGTGTATTGACAGAGCATTACTGAATCATCTCATCTCATTCGTACATAATAGTATCCTATAGATACAATGCGACGAATGACGTTTCTAGCTCGAAGAAACGTCCAGTGACCTTTAGGTTGTACAATTTATATGGAATGATCGCACGCTTGTGGGAGAGAGAATATTCTCTGAGATCGGTGTCCGTCAGAAGTGTGCGAAAGGTTTTTCGCAGTGGTTTACAAGAGTATTGCATCTCTATGGTCTGTGAAACACGCGATATATATTATCACAAAATTGCATATGCCTCACCTTGCATCGTATTTCAATGCATTGGTTAATAAATATTGATATTTTAAATCTTTTGAAATCGTAAGGAATACGATCTTGTTAAAGCTTTCATATTTTGTTTAAAAAATAATTTGCAAATTTTCTTCTCGATGAAAAATGATGAGTTTATTTTAACATTATTTGATCAAAAGTTGAATCCGATCATTATGTACTTAACTGACCCCGTATTAACAATTTGGAAAAAAAAAACGTTAAGATGTGTTTCGAGATAACGAGGGATCAATGCAATGATAGCTTTTATAAGATACGTCAGTACTTCATCGCTTATGGGATGTGCAAACTTTCTTGCATCATTTCACGAAGAAGCAAGACGCAATCCATATCCAGCGCGTTATAAGACGCAAATCGATGAGTAGCTCTGAAGAAGTCGTACATCGTTCGTGATGTAATCTTTGAAAACACAGCAGGCCGTGCGTGGAACATGTTTTTTAAATCGAAAATATATGCCGTTTAGTTTAATTTCTAAATATTATCACACATCGAATATGTAAACGATCATAAGATACATAATCAAAATTGTACGTCACCTTGGTCAGACAATTTTCAAAATTACTATTCATAATAATTGCTACATAAAAATATCATTGTAGGAAGGTTGACAGATCGATTTAATTTAATTGATAACTTTCATGGATAATAATTTGGTTGTATCGTAAATCAATGAGTTAGATACGGCACCTTCTTTCACCGTTGAAAGATCTATTGAAATGGAATACATGAGAGACAGGTGAAAATAGTTTCTTGCATAATGTAAACGCCTGTTGTAGTTACGCATTACGACTTTGGTACTAATAAAGCATAGACAAGGAGATGAACAGGCGCGGACCAAGACGTCTCTGCGTTCTTTTACCTGCACTTTCTAATTATGTGTTGCTTTATACGTGATAATACGCGTAATTAAATGAAAAATGAAGAATGAAGAGAAACAAAGACAGCAATATTGTGAAACATTAAAAAGAGAATTCGCCTATTCGAGATATGTACGAGATACGGTTTCTATGATACGAACAAAAGAATCGAAACTTTCTTCGAATTTTATCAGATTTGTTCGTATCTTTCTATTATTTTGCTATGCTAGACAAAAAAAAGTACATATATTATTTATATTATTCTCAATTGTTAGTACGGAGAAAGTTTTCTTAGTAACGAATGTTTGAAAGAATTGGAATGCTTCACGCCTCGTAATTGTTCTTTATCTCTTTTACTTGTTAATAATTATTTTGAAATTGTAGAAAAATCCTCAAGCATGGAACTTATAACATATATATATATATATAGTTGATAGGTAAAATGATCATACTTAACATAACAAAGATCCGCCTTGTTTTATGGTACATGCAAATGGAAAATCCATCCGCTGTTTTTATCTCCGTCATTATTACACGACAAGGACGTTGTACGCTCGCTAATATGGAAGATACTATTATTGAACGTCAGATTTCTACTTTCACTCTTAATAAAAAAGTAAAGTATCGAAGCATCATTAATGATAATTTTTTTTTTTTTTTTCTATCTATTTACAGAACTTTTTCTCCTTTTTTTTTATTTATTTATTTATTTATTCCTTCCCCTATTTCACATTCTTTTTCTTTTCATAGATATAATTCACCGAGCGTAGAATTTTATTACTTTAATAATGGAGATGAACTTTTTGAAATTTTACAGTCGATGCATTTAAAAAGATATTTAAAAATAAAATGCAGGAAAATGAAATAAATTGAAGAAAAAATAAAAATAAGAAGAAAAAGTCTTGTCTCCCATCGTCTGGCCAAAAAGGCAGAGGTCCCAATTGTGACGAAATCGAAAGTTGAATCGACGGTCAATCTTCGAAGAATTCGAGGAAAGAGTACGTAGGTAGAAAAAGAAGGACAAGAAAAAAAATCGAGAGAAAAGGATGTAGAAAAAAAAAAAAGAAAAAATAATAAAAAAAATCAACGAGCCAGAAAAGAAGAACGACATGGTATTTATCATTCTTACGAAAGGCCGCAGATCATCTTGAAATTTACTGACCAATTTGACTTCTCTCGATTACACAACCAAAAATACCTCGCTTTTACTTTAATATTCATTTTTATTTATTTATTTATTTAATTTTTTTTTTTTTCTTTCATTTTTGTCTCTTATCTCAACTTTCGAGGATAAGTTTATCATACTTAAAAACAATAAAACAATTATTTTATTTCTTTAAACGAATATTATAATATCTTTCTCTTCATTTCTATTTGTACTTATTCATTCCTTCATTTCTTTTTATTTCATTCTGATTTTATCTTAACGATCCATTTACAAGTCATTTTATCTCGTATCAATCTTCTAATATTTATTTATTTATTTATTATTGGTATTATTTTATTTTTTTAATTAGTCCTAATCTTATCTTAACGTTTCGAGGACGATCATTATAACTGAATAAATTATCTTGCCGATGAGTGTTCTTGTATCGGAACGTCTTACATAAATACAAAGAAAGGAAACACGTGGGCGAGAATAGAATAGTACTATAAGATGAATCCACCGAAACGACTAGAGTACTACCGAAGGTAATAAACTCAGGTGATGATAGTTGTTTGTAGTACGAGTAATGAGTATGTGGTTATGAGACCTAACCACAAAGAAATTGAAAGTTCTTTAACATCGTAATAATAATAATAATAATAATAATAATAATAATAATAATAATAATCATTACACGAACAAATGACGAATTGTCATTGACCTTCATATTAATAACTCAGTTTAACATTTGAAAAATATCATTTGAAAGGGATTCATCGTTAGGATTAGTCTAACCTAAGGTATCATATAATAAATATGAGTATGTAATATGTTTCTGAACAATAGTATAAAAAATATTTTGAAAAGATCATCAACGCGCATCATCGACACTAAACTTTGGCTCGACGTTAAATCATAGATTTTACGCTCGTACCTGATCTTTGTTTAATCATTCGTAATAAATGTCAGCTACGACGGATTAGTCGTTGGTAATAAATCGTTTCGTTGAGAAGATAAGGTACGATTTTAAAAGTTGAGAGGGAAGAAAAGAAAGAAATAGAAAAAAAGAGAAGAGAGAGAGAGAGAGAGAGAGAGAGAGAAAATAAAAAGAAATTCATATAAGAAAAGATGGACAAGTCGAATTACATTTCTGACTCCCACGACAACGAGCATTTTCTCTTGTGTGATCGATTTGGTGAAGTTATTCATCATGCTGTCTTATTATATATATATATATATGTGTGTGTGTGTGTTTATATGTGTATAGATCGATTTACTAAAAACACACACAGACACATGTACCTTCATATAAAAAATGTATGAAAATATCAAGAGGAGTGATTTGCTTACGTAATGAAATTGCAATTATCAATTACAATCTTATCGCAACTTTCTTCATATTTTTAATACCAAAAATATAATACTACTCTTTAAGAATAAAATAATTGTTAGATGTAAAATATTAAAAAAAAAAATTGTAATTGTTTATATTTACTTTAGATTATTTGTTAACATATTTCTATCGATATTTGGATAATGTATGCAATTTGATAGAGACGAGTATATTAACAATAAAAACACAATGTTGTATAAGTCAAAGAGGAGGATTAGAAATAGACGTGGCCTGATCTTTCACTCCTGAATCGACTCACGTAGTTAAACTATAGTTTAGTAAGTTCGTTAAATATCGTTCTTTTCTATACTACTTTTGTTTTGAAAGTAACGAGCCACGATTTAATTCAATTCTTATAAGTTCAACACAAAACATGAACTAACAGTTAAATAGTAATCGTATCTAATACAATTTTTGCTAATAAGATTTTAGTTTCTGTAAATGATAATGTTTATATAAATAAAACATGTGTGCAGATCACACACGTTAGAAATGAAACCAACTAAAAATCAAGTTTCGAGAGAATGAGACGAATGCACAGTGTCAATAGTAAGATAATTGTAGAATTTATTTATTATAATATTGTTACCATATATAACAAAGGAATAGATAAAGGATATAAAA